TTCAACATGTTTTGGCCATTGCATTGGCATGCATGAGGCTTGTTTGAGGTTGGTTTGGTCCATTGAATATTGCATTACATGGCCCTTACCATTGCATTTTTGTTTGCATGTTGTTGCATGACATTGTTATTTACATGTTGTTGCATGTTCATGATGTTTAGCATGTTGATTAGATAACATGTTGTTGCATGCTTGGGGCCTTGCATGTTATTGCATGCTTGTTGCATTGCATTATGTGTGCATGCCTTGCATTGCATTGTGTACGCATGCCTTGCATTGCATTGTGTTCGGATAGGGTGTCAATCCAAACATGAGGAACGAGGGACATTTCATACTCGAAGTGATGAAACGTGCCTCAATTCTCAGTCGCCGACCCTCTTGATCAAGCATGATAGAGGTTAAGGTCCCTTATGTGGTATTTGTGTGCATTCATTAACATTGGTTTGTGCAACTTGGCCTCTTTGGCCATCATGCATTGAGATGCGTGATTGGTGGCTTGAGAGCCGAGCACTACACTCCTTTGAGCTTAAGACATGATAAGGGGTGTAGTTGCACACACATTTTCTTGTAAATACACTTCCATGCCTCTGTTAGTGCTCTGTTGCAGCAAAGGGAGAATTTGCAGGAAGCAGTGGCCGATCGACCACTTATTCTACCGATCGGCTATCAAAATTGGCCGATAGCCATAAACTCTAGCTGATGGCCACTCCTCTTGGCCGATCACCTTTCAGCATGTCCATAAGGTGGATTAGAACTATTTTGGAGGTTGGCACAATTTTCAGAGATACAAAAGTGTGCAAACAGAGGCATCACGAGGCACGGTAGTGGATTTCCGAGCGAAGTTGACCGAGCATGCATCATTCATTATTTCGAGGTAGAGCTGTGGTAGCTTAATTTAGCTACTTTCTTTTCTTACTTAGTTGATTTTGTAACTTAATTAACTTGCTTAATTAGTTAAGGTTTTGTAATAATTAATTAGCTTAGCGTAGCTAGTTAGTTGATTTATTCGGACCCTCCGTTGAGAGGGTGAATTTTGTAATAAGTATGCGTGTGTGTGATGCATGTCTTCCACCCCCCATTTCTTTCTCCCTTTTACTTAACCGCTTTCGATGGTTAGTTTAGGGTCATTTTCAATTAGCATCCTTATGCTTGCATGCGTGCATCATTCATCTGTCTTGTATGCAGCAGGCTCGGCGCATCATACAAACTGCATTGTATTTCAATACCAATTTGAATACATGTTATCAAGTTGCAGTCACATGACATCTTAGAATAGCCGAGCCTATCTTAGTTGCATTTTTGCGTGTGTTGCATTAGGCATCTTAACATAGCTAGGATCATGCATTGATTTCTAACGAGCTTCTTTTTTGGCTCGGAGTACTAGGGAAGCTTTTACGCTTTAGCATCTTGCATGTGTGTAAGTGTTGCCATAAGGCTAACTGCTTAACTGATATAACTGCATGCATGGCTGTGGATAAAGGCTTCATTGCTTGAATTGGAACAAATTCATCAAAATGCGAGTTTTAAGCCCACTTGAGAGTGGCAAATCATGTTTTCTAAGCCCACACGAGGGTGGCAAAACCATGTCTTAGCCTACTTGCGAGTAGCACCTTCGGACCATTTTCAAACAAACAAACATGAGATGTTTTGTTCCAACTTGAGTGATTTAGTCTATATTTGTATGCTCTGCGCATCACATAGTAATTCTAGATTAATAACTGGAATAAGAACGCATGTGCTTTCAAAAATAATATATCATGTTAGTAGAAGCCGATCTTTGATCGGGCGAGTGGGGGTGCTCATTTCATGACCTTCCTCCCTCGTACCCAAGTTCCCGAGCGGAGGCAACTTTAGTGATGACGGACACGTGGCCTTAGGCACGAGTCAGGGTTTCCTAAATTTTTCAAAACAAAATATTTAGGTGGCGACTCTGAAATCTAGCAAAGCAGTCCATGCTTGGTGCTTTTTGATTAAAATCGATTTTTCAAAATGATTTGCCGGATTTGGACTCTTTGGTGATTTATTAGTCTTACATTGCACTTTGTGAGATTAAATTCAGAACCATGACATGAGTCCGAATTGTAGTAGCTAGGAACAACGATTCGCGCCCTTGTGCGCGGAGCGGAGTTTTGGGCGGTCTACAGTAGTGGACTTGAGTCTTTGTTTTGTACATTTATTGAATGTATATAAGTTGGATCCTTGACCATCATGCATTTAGAATGCTTGATTGGTGGTTTTAGACCTAATAGCTCCCCTCCTTTGATGTTTTGAGATGATAAGGATAGGGTGCAATACAAACATGTCCTAGAAAAACCCTCCATTTTACTCTGTGTATGCTCTTTTGCAGTTTGGTGAATCAACACACCAGTGGCTGATAGTACTTCATTATTGACCGGTAGTGTTTCATTGTTTGTCGGCAGTGCCTCTTCTTGGCTGGCAAGTGGCCGGCAGCAAGCAATCATGGCCGGCAGGCCACTGGTGCATTCCTTAGCATGGAATTGGTAAGGCAGAGCATAAAGTTCTTGGAGTAACCCTGCAAACAAAGCTTCTCAAGAGCAAACCGGTGGATTTTTCGGGGTGAAAACCGAGTGCATGCATGTTCAACTTGCTGAGGCAACATAGTTAGATGCTCTACTTGTTAGTTAGCATGGTTTTGTAATTTAATTAATTAGTTTGCCAATTAGTTGAATGTTGTAATAATTAAGTAGCTTAGCTTAGCTATTTCTTTATTCAATTGGTTTGTAATAATTAGCCTAATTAGTTTAATTAGATTAGTTTGTTTAGCTTAGCTTAGATTAGTTTAGCTTATTTATTCGGACCCTCTTTCGAGAGGGCGCAATGTTGTAATAAGTGTACATGTGTGTATGCATGTCTTCCAACCCCACTTCTTTCTCCCTTTTACTTAACCGTTTTTGATGGTTAGTTTAGGGTCATTTTCAATTAGCATACCTTATGCTTTGCATGTTTGCATCATTCATTTGTTTTGCATGCACCGGGCTCGGCGCATCATACAAACTGTGACGCCCCAAAAATTCGGAACATCAGATAATATATTAACTAATAAATACAGGATTTATCTAAGGTTACTAGAGTAGGAAACGTCACTAATGAGTCCTTTGGCTAATAACCAAGCAAGATCCTAGGAAGGTCGGAGGAGTCAAAATAGCCTCCCTTCAAAGTCCAACCACCTTAGATAGCAAAGTTACCTTTTTGACAGATCTTGATAAGGTATTAACACAAGGCCTACATGAGTTGACGGAGTCTAAGGATAGGTTATAAATGCTATATATATATATATATATATTGTTAAAATCCACCTACTCTCCACCTACTTCACCCACTTAAACCTACTCCACTAAACCTAACCCACTACACGTGGCCTTAGGCACGAGTCAGGGTTTCCTAAATTTTTCAAAACAAAATATTTAGGTGGCGACTCTGAAATCTGGCAAAGCAGTCCATGCTTGGTGCTTTTTGATTAAAATCGATTTTTCAAAACGATTTGCCGGATTTGGACTCTTTGGTGATTTATTAGTCTTACATTGCACTTTGTGAGATTAAATTCAGAACCGTGACATGAGTCCGAATTGTAGTAGCTAGGAACAACGATTCGCGCCCTCGTGCGCGGAGCGGAGTTTTGGGCGGTCTACAGCAGTGGACTTGAGTCTTTGTTTTGTATATTTATTGAATGTATATAAGTTGGATCCTTGACCATCATGCATTTAGAATGCTTCATTGGTGGTTTTAGACCTAATAGCTCCCCTCCTTTGATGTTTTGAGATGATAAGGATAGGGTGCAATACAAACATGTCCTAGAAAAACCCTCTATTTTACTCTGTGTATGCTCTGTTGCAGTTTGGTGAATCAACACACCAGTGGCTGATAGTACTTCATTATTGGCCGGTAGTGTTTCATTGTTTGTCGGCAGTGCCTCTTCTTGGCTGGCAAGTGGCCGGCAGCAAGCAATCATGGCCGGCAGGCCACTGGCGCATTCCTCAGCATGGAATTGGTAAGGCAGAGCATAAAGTTCTTTGAGTAACCCTGCAAACAAAGCTTCTCAAGAGCAAACCGGTGGATTTTTCGCGGTGAAAACCGAGTGCATGTATGTTCAACTTGCTGAGGCAACATAGTTAGATGCTCTACTTGTTAGTTAGCATGATTTTGTAATTTAATTAATTAGTTTGCCAATTAGTTAAATGTTGTAATAATTAAGTAGCTTAGCTTAGCTATTTCTTTATTCAATTGGTTTGTAATAATTAGTCTAATTAGTTTTATTAGATTAGTTTGTTTAGGTTAGCTTAGATTAGCTTAGCTTATTTATTCGGACTCTCCTTCGGGAGGATGCAATGTTGTAATAAGTGTGCGTGTGTGTATACAAGTTTTTCAATCCCACTTCTTTCTTTCTTTTACTTAATCGCTTTCGATGGTTAGTTTAGGGTCATTTTCAATTAGCATACCTTATACTTTGCATGTTTGCATCATTCATTTGTTTTGCATGCACCGGTAGGGGTGAGCATGGTCCGGATTAGTCCGGATTGGGAGAAAATCAGTACCAATCCGTTATCTACGGTTCTTGAAAAATTAAAACCAATCCAATCCGTTTAAATTGTGGAACCAATCCGAACCAATCCGTTGAAACACGGATTGGATTGGTTTAGGACCATGGATTTAAATAATTAAATAACAAAAAAAATAGACAACAATATATATTGAAAACCTGTAAACAATATAAGTAAACAACATCCATTCCAATAGCATCTAAACTGGAATTGAAAACCTGTAAACAATATAAGTAAACAACATCCATTCCATCCATTCCAATAGCATCTAAATTGAAATTGAAAACCTGTAAACAATATAAGTAAACAACATCCATTCTATCCATTCCAATAGCATCTAAACTGGAATTGAAAATCTGTAAACAATATAAATAAACAATATCCATTCCAATAGCATCTAAACTGGAGCGAACAACATCCATTCTAAGCAAACAACATCCATTCCAAGCAAACACACATCAACAATAGTAGATAACAACAATCAAATTCAATAGTAGTAGACATTACATTTCCCTTTTCCACAAATTCTAAGCAAACAGATATAAAGTAGTTTTAGACAAAAACAAATAAACAAACAAAGGCATGTTGGCAGCAGCACAACTTAAGGATGACAAACAAAAGCACCACAACAGTGCAGTGGCAGCAGCAGCGCAACAGCAGCAGTAACAGGGGATTTCCAGCAGACCAAATCACTTTCCAGCAGCTATGTTAACATGGGTTAAAGCTGCAAAAAAATTAAATTCAGTTTAAAGTAAAAAATAACACAATACATGAATGAAATTTAAATGATTAATTGAATATTAGAATTCTTTTACCTCTTTCTATGTCCTCCAAATCTGCAAAGTTTTTTTCCATTTGAAGTGGCAATGGCGAAGCATGCAACCAATCTTGTGTACAAATTAAACTTTCAATAAGTTTTGGAGTAAAAGAACTACGAAATTGGTCAAGGATACGGCCTCCTGTGCTGAAAGTAGACTCGGAAGCAACAGTAGAGACAGGAATGGCCAAAATATCCCTAGCAACTTGAGAAAGAATTTTATATCTTGAAGAATTTGTCTTCCACCAACTTAAGATGTCAAAGTTTACAACTTCCTTTTCATAAGATTCTTCCAAATACCTATCTAGTTCTGACTTTCCTCCATCACCTGCTTCTTCCTCCAAAAGCTTTTGAAATTTTGTCATAAGAGACACTTGGTGCTCACTTGCACCAATGTTTCCTTGATCAACAATGTCTACCTCATGAACCATTTCATGAGAAGATGAAGCAACTGTCTCAAACTGTTTATACTCATAAAAAATGTTATTCAAAGTCTCTCTTACTTTTTAAGTGAGCTCACTTACCGTGGCAGGTTGATAAACTTCAAAATAACAAAACCTCACATACTTCAACTTATAATGAGGATCAAACACAATAGCAATCAATAATATCATATTTATTTTTTCAATTTTTTCCCAATACTTGTCAAATTTAGTCTTCATTTTTATTGCCATGGCTTTCAAAGAAGGATCTAAACTCTTTCCCCATTCAGTTAAGGCATTTTCTATAGCACAAACTTCAGTGAAGTACAAGTTGGAAGTGACATACAAAGAACCAGACAAGCGAACAGTTGCATCATAAAACTTTTGCAAAAATTATGTAAAAACATGAGCATCTTCCCAATCTTGAGAGGTAAGAGGTCCATGATTAAGTTCTAGTTTGAAATGTGGGTCCTCATCCTCTAATCTCTCAAATACTTTTTGAAACTTTGTTACAACATCTAGCATTAGATATGTGGAGTTCCACCTAGTTTGAACATCTAGACACAACAAGCTTTTACATGTTACCCTCTCTGTTTCAGCACGTGTCCTGAAAAGTTGCTCTCGTTGTGGGGAACTCCTTACATACTTCACCCCATCACGAATTCGAGTTATTGAATCTTTTATTTCACTTAACCCATCCTTGACAATTAAATTAATTATATGGGCACAACACCTCATATGCAAGTACTCACCCCTTAAAATCAAAGAGTCATTGTTTTTTGAAAACTTCCTTTTCACATATGCAATAGCTACATCATTTGCACTTGCATTATCCACAGTGATTGTACTAATATTCTCTATACCCCAATCAACTAAACATGATTCCACTGCCTTACCAATTGCCTCCCCTTTGTGACTAGAAATCACACTAAAGTTGAAAATTCTTTTTTGCAAATTCCAGTCTTTATCAATAAAGTGGGCTGTTAGGCACATATATGAAACATTTTGTAGAGATGTCCATGAATCCGTAGTGAGACAAAGTCTATAGTTTGCATTCTTCAACACATTTTTCAACTTTTTCTTCTCACTACAATATAAATCCACAATATCCCTTGCTACTGTAAAGCGTGAAAACTTTTTGAAATTAGGTTGCATCACACTACAAAATTGACGGAATCCTTCACGCTCTACAAACCTAAATGGCAACTCATCAGTGATTACTATTTCCAAATGTGATATGATGAATGAGAAAATAGTGTACAATATGGAAACAAATTAGGGGTATAATAGTACACTAATATCATTCATTTATAACTTATAGGACCTTATGGAACACATTCCTATTTAAATAGGGCTTCAAACTCTAAAATAATATTTATAGGACTTCATATTAAATAAAGTCTTTCAAATAGGACTTATAAATAATTTTCCTAACAAATTTTTCCTTTTCAAAACTCATTTCAAAAATTTAAAACTCAAAATACAATTTAAAACTCAAATCATGATTTAAAAACTACCAAACAGAAGTTTATTTTTCTTTTCTAGAAAGTAGAATTGTTTGTTATAATCTATATAGCCTGGTTTGTTTCTTAGTAATCCATGTGTGAGAGAAAAAAAAATGTAAAATTGTTTGGAGCATGTTTTAATTATCTTGATGTTAACAATCCACAAGAAATTTTCAACCTTCTTTTTTCTATTTTTGTTTTTTTATTTTTAAATTTATTTAAAGTGCATATTTTTTTTCCCCCTTTGTTTCTGAAGTTTATTATTATGTTCTCTCTCTCTCTCTCTCTCTCTCTCTCTCTCCACTTATTGAAGGATTTCCAAAGCAACAGCTTGGACAATAACAAAAATGCATGGAATGCTAGCTTGAGTAGCAAAAGATTTAATGTGTTCTTAGAAGGTAAAGTAGCAATTATTTTATTTTATTTTTTTGTATCTGCAAATCATGTCCCTATTTGATGGGGCTTAAGGCTTGATTTGGTTTGGTTTATTTGCAAATCACGTATCTTTTTTTAATTATTGTTTTTTTTATTAGGTCTATTGAAGCTCATTAGAAGACAAGCTGGAAAGACTTGTGAGGGCAGTGTTTGGGGTTTTATAAGTAGTGTTTCCAAATTCTGGGAGCCACAAGCTCTCAAGCTTCGTGTCTAGCAGGACTCTTATGCACTTTAGCAAAGGAGTTAATGAATACATAGTCCTAATAATGAGATGGTGGGCAAATTATACCATTTCATTGGTTGGGCACATGAATACGTACTCTATGTGAGCTATTAAATAACTTCTGGTATATTGAGCACACCGATCTGATCTGAGATGGATGAGAGTGTGAGAGAGAACTCAATCTGAGATGAGAAAGAGAAGAGAGAGAGACACCATCGATAGAGAGCTGAGATGAGAGTGAGAGACCTGAAAGAGGCGTGTGAATGACTGAGGCTGGATTAGGTTACATTTTAGTTTTTATATGAGACAAGAAATTATATGGTGTGGGAAGGTATATGATATAAAAATATAGATTATTTCTAGATGGTCCGGATCGGTTCCAATCCGGAATCGTGAGGTTCAATCCGGAACCGATCCGTGGCCTACGAATTTTGAAATTTTCAATCCGGAACCGAACCACGGATTCAAAAAACCAATCCAAACCTATCGGATTGGACTGGATCGGACCAGATTACGGATTTTACGGATTCCTTGCTCAGCCCTATGCACCGGGCTCGGCGCATCATACAAATTGCATCGTATTTCAATACCTATTTGAATACGTGTATCAGTTGTTGCATTCATATGCCATCTTAGATAGCCGAGCCTATTTAGTTGCATATTGCATGTGTTGCATTAGGCATCTAGCATAGTTAGAATCATGTATTGTTTCTAACTAGTTTTTGTTTTGGCTCGGAGTACACTGTAAATCTTTACGCTTTAGCATACTTGCATGAGTGTGAGTGTTGCCATGATAGCATGCTTGCCATGAAGCTATTTGCTTAAGTGATTAACTGCATGTATGTCTGTGGGTGAAGGCTTAGTTGCTTGAATTTGGACAATTCGATGATTGAGAGTTTTAAGCCCACTTTGCAAAGTGGCAAATTATGTTTTTTTTAAGCCCACTTGAGGGTGGTAAATCCGCGCTTTAGCCTACTTGCGAGTAGCACTTTCAAACCATTTTCGAAAACAAACATGAATTGTTTTGTTTCAAGCCTTGCAACTTAGTCTATATTTGTGTGTGTGCGTCACATAGTAAAGATAGCTAATAACAGGATAAGAACACATGAGGTTTATAAAACAACATATCATGTTTAGTAGAGGCCGATCCTTGATCGGGCGAGCGGGAGTGCTCATTTTAGGACCTTCCCCTCTCGTACCCAAGTTCCCGAGCCGAGGCAACTTTGGTGATGACGGACACGTGGCCTTTGGCTTAAATCAGGGTTTCCTAAATTTTTCAAAAATAAAATATTAGGTGGCGACTCTGTGATCTGGCAAAGCAGTCCAGTTTTGGCATTATTTGATCTAAAATCAATTTTCTAAAATGATTTGCCGGATTGGACTCTTTGGTGTTTATCAATCTCACATTGCACTTTGTGAGATTAGATTCAGAACTGTGACAAGAGTCCGAACTCTAGTAAGACCAATTCGCGCCTCTCCGAAAGGGGGGCACGCGAAGAAAGTCGAGTCTACAATTTCTGGTGACTCTGCTAGGGACTTAGAGAACTTGACTCAAACTCATGATATGTTGTTTTATCTATATTTATGTGTTTCTTTGCATTGCATTTGCATAGGTGCGCCTAAGTTACAGTGTTTGCCATATGCTACTCCTGAACAGTTTGCCGGAGGCTAGCTTAGAAAAGCGTGCCATAAGGCTGACCGGTTGCGGGCTCTGCTACGATGAGAACACAAACCTCGGATCTGGACTACCGCTGTACCGTTTGATCCTCCTTTCACTTCTCGGTGTTAGGAGTGAGAGGTATATTAGGTGGACTTGCTGAGGCACCCTTTTTGACCATTTGACCTAGTTGCATATCGGAAACCTTAGAGACTGTTCCAAACTAGAACAAGTTGCTCACCCGAATGCAGGATTGTCGGGCGAGCGGGGGTGCTCATTTTAGGACCTTCCCCTCTCATACCCAAGTTCCCGAGCCGAGGCAACTTTGGTGATGACGGACACGTGGCCTTTGGCTTAAATCAGGGTTTCCTAAATTTTTCAAAAATAAAATATTAGGTGGCGACTCTGTAATCTGGCAAAGCAGTCCAGTTTTGGCATTATTTGATCTAAAATCAATTTTCTAAAATGATTTGCCAAATTGGACTCTTTGGTGTTTATCAATCTCACATTGCACTTTGTGAGATTAGATTCAGAACTGTGACAAGAGTCCGAATTGTAGTAAGACCAATTCGCGCCTCTCCGAAAGGGGGGCACGCGAAGAAAGTCGAGTCTACAATTTCTGGTGACTCTGTTAGGGACTTAGAGAACTTGACTCGAACTCATGATATGTTGTTTTATCTACATTTATGTGTTTCTTTGCATTGCATTTGCATAGGTGCGCCTAAGTTACAGTGTTTTCCATATGCTATTCCTGAACAGTTTGCCGGAGGCTAGCTTGGAAAAGCGTGCCATAAGGCTGACCGGTTACGGGCTCTGCTACGATGAGAACACAAACCTCGGATCTGGACTACCGCTGTACCGTTTGATCCTCCTTTCACTTCTCGGTGTTAGGAGTGAGAGGTATATTAGGTGGTCTTGCTGAGGCACCCTTTTTGACCATTTGACCAAGTTGCATATCGGAAACCTTAGAGACTGTTCCAAACTAGAACAAGTTGCTCACCCGAATGCAGGATTGTGTGAAACCGCATGTGTGCGTAGTGAAACCCTAGTTCCTGACGAAACCAGGATAGGGAAACCCTACCTCACCATAGGGGTGTTTTAGCTCTCACTTGCTTGATATTTGCTGTTAGGCTGTGTCTCTATAGGAATGTATTTATCAATTGTAAGTCTAGGTATCAGTCTGAGGACATCAGTGTTTGAGGGTATTAGTATTACGGCAGAGAATTTGGGGGTAGAAATCAGTGTTTGAGTACAGATTGTCCAACTTATGATTTCAACTGTGTGTTGTCTCTGTCTAAGCCGAGGTGCTGTACGTTTTTCTGATTTTTGTTTCTTTTGCTTTATTTTCTGTTTTGTAAGGTAGTATTTCATCATTGCTTCTAACGAGGCAGTGACCCCTCAAGCACTCTGGACCAGAGTAAGGAGGCTTTATCGATCTGGGGATCTTGTGAGAGGACAACCGGTGTTTGCTTCGCTACCCCTAGTTACGAGATTGTGGAGAGTTCGACATAATTCACTAGTTCGTCAGTTATCTGTGCTCAGTGAAATTCAGTTTTCTGCTTCTACCTCAGAAAGGGAATATATACCGGTTTAGTCAGATCAGCACCCCTCAGTCAGTATAGAGGAAATGATGCGTCAACTCCAGCAAACTATCGAGGCCATGCAGCAGGACGCTGCTCGCCAAGCAGAGGTTACCGCTCGACAAATAGAGGTTGTAGCCCAGCAGGCCGAGCTGATTTCCAAGCTTCAACTACAACAACAACCACAACAAGCATCAATATCTGCTTTACACCCACCTTCACTTATGGTTCCAATACCCGGGGATACAGCAAATGTCCAAGAGAATACGGACATCCCAGCGGGGCCAGTCCCACCTCAGACTTCCAAAGCATCGGCTTACCCAACGGATACACCATTTGAGTTTAAGGTCAATCCAACAGCTCTGAAAGTGAGCAAGCTCGAGAAGCTGTTCAAGTGGGCTCAAGGAGTTAACTCGATCCCAGACGTAGAGGACGACTACACAGATTTGGCGGTGACATTACCAGATAGATTTAAAATGCCTCACATAGACTGCTTTGACGGCTTAGGCGATCCTATGGTCCACTTGAGGCTGTTTTTAGATATTCTACGCCCGATGGGCTTTACTAGAATGCAGAAGCTATCCCTCTTTGGTCGGACCCTGTCAGACATTGCGGCCATCTGGTATGCTAAACTGGAGGATTCAGTGAAGAGGAGTTGGGAGGAGATGGCCGAGGCTTTCATCGCCCAATATTCTTACAATACCCAAATCGAGGTCATAACTCGTGATCTCAAGGCAACTAGGCAAGAGCCAAAAGAGGACTTTTCTGATTTCGTCACTCGGTGGAGGGCCAAGGCCTCCATGATAACAACCAGGCCAGTTGAGAAAGACCAAATAAGAATGGTCGTGAGGAATCTGCAACCGAGGCTGTTGCAGAAGATGATTATCTTACCCCTTCCTACCTTTGCGGATCTTCATGAGATTGGGGTACAGATAGAAGATGCTATGAAACAGGGTCTGATTGGCCAGGAGAAAGAACAGCCCAAGAGGGCCTTTACCCGCAGTTCGAATGCAGCAACGAGTAGCAATGCAGCTGCGAGGACCTCTAACGTGGGTATGGTCACCACCACACCAAAAACAGCCACACCCTTTACCGACACATCTGGAGCCACCTCACAACCGGCAAAGTACCCACCTCGGGGCCAGAGGGTTTTCACCTCACTTTACATGTCTCTCTTTGTGGCCTTGAGGGTCTTGATTAGAAAAGGACATTTGAAGCCCCTGAAACCACGCCCATTGCCAAATCTCCTCTTTCCTACACACAACCCAGCCAAGTATTGTGCCTTATATCAGCAACATGGGCATGATACTAATTTGTGCTTTAGACTACGTCATGAGATTCAAGATCTCATTGACAATAAAGTGATAGCGCCTCCTGAGAAGCCATATGTCACTACAAACCCCCTTCCACCACATAACCAACCCCCTCCTCCACCCAGGCAAGTAAACCTAATCCAAACAATGGCTGTCCCGTACAACCCTAGCATATACATCACTTCCTCCCACTTGCCTAAACCGGCATTGTTCATCCTAGAATGCATAGACTTATGCATGATGAGCACGTCAATATCCCAACCTGAACCCATGGTGGTGGCTGTGATAGAACAGGGAACGCCTGAGGGCTCTACAAGCTTAATTGATGAAGCATACAACCCTTGCCGCTTTATTGTGCCAGTTGATCAGGCCAAGCCGAGGGTAGAATTTCCGAGGAAAACAGAGGTGAATGTAGTCCGGGAAGATGGGCTAGGTCAGGGGCTGGATGATTTACCAGAGCTTGAGGAGGACATTGCTAATCTACAGTTCTTTGATGACCAGAATCCGAGGGATATGAGCGTCAACTGGTTTGACCTGAATGGATCAACAGACAATACAAGGTGGCTTAGTGATA